AATTCTTGGGATGATGCTCGATGTTTGCGTGAGTTTCCCACGTGTCTCCAAGGGACGGTGTTGAAGTGGTACAATGGATTGAGTGCGGCCACTCGTAGGGATTGGAGTGTTCTTCCGGACGTCTTCAAATGCGCCTTCAGACATGCTGACGATTGTGACGATGCCTTCCAACAATTGCATCGTCTTCGCCAAGGGCCCTCTAAGTCGGTGATGCAATTTGGCGTTCGTTTCTGAAGTCTTTTGCTTCGTGCGGAGCCTAATATGTCGGAGCGGATCAAACTAGGAATGTTGTGGCCAACACTTTGTCAAGATTTTGTCGGCCTTGTGCATGCCCTTGCTCCTGCCACCCTTGACGATGCTCTTCGCTTGGTACAACGTTATGAGACGTTGCCTCTTCCACTTCTTGCTGCACGTCCTTCAGCTCCACTTCTTATGAGTGATAGTCCTATTCCAATGGAGGTTGATGCTACTGCTACTCGAGTCCACGGACAAGGGCGCGGACGTGGTCGTGGCTGTGATGTTCGTTGCTGGGCGTGTGATGAAATTGGTCATACTTATCGGCGTTGTCGGCGCTTTCCGGATTGGCGACCTCCATTTCCTGGGTGGAGACCTTGGCGTCAGCAACGTCCTGTTGGTGCTGCTATGGTGGAAGGTTTGGATACCAAGGTGCATCCAGGAAACGAGGAGTCGCGCGAGTAATGGAGGGACCTTGCGCGAATAAGTTAGTGACCCCTCCATCTTTCTTTCGGGAGTATCATCAAGGGGTTCACTCGGCACCGGTTCATCCAGTGTTTACTTTCCAAGCTCATTTTTATAACAAGAGGTCTCCTATTCTTCTCTCCGTGTTGGTTGATACAGGTTCGAATTTATCTTCTATTGCTCGATCTGTTGCCACACGTTGTCGTTTACACTTGCATCGTGTGGCGGATCCAGTTTTCATTCTTTATGGCAACGGCCATACACATGCATGTGCATGAGATGAGGCGGACTTGGTTGTGCGTGTGGGCGATCTCGAGCTTGAGTTGCAGTCGTTGCGGGTGGTGCCAAGTCAAGCTTTTGACCTCATTCTTGGTATGGATTGATTGCAGCGCAATCATGCCAAGTGTGACTTTGAGGCTTCTCCCCCTTGTCTCATACTTCCTTATGTTTCATCCATTCCTCTCACTTCCGTACTTCTTTGTCCTTTTACTTCTACCTCTGCTTCCATTACTTTTGTTCCCCCACTATTTCCTCTTGTGTTTCCATCTTGTTTTGCTCTTCCCTTTTCCGATCCCTCTGATGATCTTTGTGTTGCAATTGTTGACCAGCTCATGAAGGAGTATTTTGATCTCTTTGAATTTGACCTATTGTCTGGGGCCAAGATTGCCACACGTCATCCCATTCCAACCGGGGATGCTCGTCCAATCAAGGTTCCTGTTCGTCGTCGGTCACCCAAGGAGATCAAGATTTTATGTGCAAACATCAAGGAGATGTTGGAGAAGGGTGTTATTCAGAAGTCGCGGAGTCCTTGCGCATGTGAACCTCATCTTGTGACAAAGCCTGATGGGAGTATTCGTTTTTGCATCGACTATCGTCCATTAAATGAAGTGACGATCCCAGATGTGTACCCTCTTCCTCACACTGCTGATCTCTTGGATCGTCTGGGGTGAAGTCATTGGTTCATGAAGCTAGATCTTGCTTCTAGGTACTGGCAAGTATCGATGGCCGACAAAGATATTCCTGAGACTGCTTTTCGTACACTGTTTGGTTTGTACGAGTTCTTGGTGATGCCGTTTGGTTTGAACAATGCTCTAGCAACTTTCCAGCAGATGATGGACGAGGTTCTTTGTGATATGCCAGAGGTGACTGCTGACTTCATTGATGATGTCTTGATTCACTCAGAGGGGACGTGGGCAGAGCACGTTCATGATGTGTGTAAAGTGTTGGATCGGCTACGGGATGTTGGTTTAAAGCTGAAGCGGTCGAAGTGCGTGTTTGGGTCCAAGGACACAACTTATCTTGGGTACCGTATTTCTCGTGAGGGTTTGCAAGTTGATCCTAATAAACTCATAGCCGTTCTAAAGTTCCCTACTCCGAAATGTGTGAATAATGTGCAGCGCTTCCTGGGCAAGGTGCAGTATCTCGATCGTTTTGTGGATCATCTTTCTGATCACACTGCACCGTTGCAAACGTTGCTGAAGTCATCAACGTCATCTTTCATCTGATCTTCAGATTGTGAGTGGGCGTTTGTGGATCTCAAAGAGCTGTTGATGACTCCTCCGGTTTTGGCATATCTTGACTACACTCGACCTTTTATTTTGCGGGTTGATGCTTCTGATATTGGTCTTGGAGGTGTGTTAATGCAAGAGAGCCCGAGTGTGCCTGGTCAGCGTCATCCCATTGCATATATAAGCCATACGTTACAACCAGCAAAGGTGAATTACTCCACGACAAAGAAGGAGTGTTTAGCGACAGTTTAGGGTTTCAAGAAACTTCATGCATATCTACATGGTTCTCGGATATTACTTGAAGGTGACCATGCTGCCATTATTTCATTATTGAAGCGGAAGAACTTGGTTGGTCGTACGGCTCGATGGGCTTTGAAGCTTCAGATATATGATTTCGATGTTGTTCATCGCCCAGGGAGTTCTATGGCTGATGCTGATGCCCTTTCTCGAGCTCCTCTTCCTTCTCCACTTTCTTCTCATGTTTCTGATGAGCCTGTTGTTCCAGCATCTGTGGATTTTCTAGATGAGGATTCAGTGCCGTCGGCGGTTGCTGTACTTGATGTTTAGTGTCTACAAGACGCAAAGCAAGATCTACCTTCTCTTGATGAGGTTCGCAAGGCTCAAAAGATTGAGCCATGGATTCGAAGGCTTCGAGATGTGTTTGACGATCTTGCATCACTTGCGGATGACTTGCCTTTCCGGCATTTACATTCTCAATATTGCCTTGAAAATGGCCTTCTTTATTTTGTGGGGACGGATCCTAATGATCATTTACGACTAGTGGTGCCTTCTATCTTTATTCCACAGTTTCTCCATGCCTACCATGATTCTCCTGTTCTAGGTGGGCATATGGGACATCATCGTGTGACTAAGAAGCTGCGTAGGTCTTTCTATTGGCCAGAGATGCGACATGATGTTATCCAGTATGTGCATAGCTGCGTTTGGTGCCAAGCTCGTAATACTCTCCCTTGTGGTGCGGAAGGACGGTTGGAATCAATTGCAGTTTCCCATCTGTTTGAGTTGGTGGCATTTGATCTTATGGGACCTTTTCCACGGTCGACTGGGCAATGAGTATGTTATTATTGCTTCTGACTACTTGACTCGTTGGGTGGAAGTTGGTGCTCTTGCTAGCGCCTCTGCAACTGTTGTTGGATACTTTCTCCTCAATCGAGTGGTGTTCCAACATTTTTGTCCAGAGCGGAATTCTTTCGGATAATGGTTTTGCATTTATGGCTGAGGTATTTCATGTTTTGACGTCTCGATTGGGGATACGCCACACTTTTACGAGTGTTTATCATCCACAATTAGACAGTCTGGTGGAACGGCTCGTTCGGACATTCAAAGGGATGATTGCAAAGTATGTGAACTTTCAGCATTCGGATTGGGATGGTTATTTGCCGTCTCTTCGGTATGCATATGTCACAGGGGTGCAGAGTTCTGTTGGTGCTTCACCATATAAACTTCTATATGGTCATGATCCAATATTACCAACGGAGCTGGGTTTACCTTTGCGATTGCCATGAGCTCCTGATAGTAGGTCATGGGATCAATATTTGACGAGCATTCTTCCATTTGTCCGAGCATAATCTGCCGAACACTTAGGCCGCGTACAAGTGGGACAACAACGGCGCTACAACTCCCATCATCATCCACCTGCAGAGTACAAAGTGGATGATTTGGTGTTAGTTTGTTTTCCCCATCTTACGGTACGTGGTTTATCTAAGGGGCTCCTTGCACAGTGGAAAGGACCATATCGAGTGTTGCGGCAAGTTGGACCGCAAGTTTATGAGGTTCGGCATGATGTCCAGCAGGCCGATCCTCCGGAGATTGTGCATGTGCAACGGTTGAAACACTTCATACAAAGGGATCATGAGTAGTTCATGCCGTCTATAGATCCACCGATGCCTCCTCCTGACATTCCTCCAGATCTCGGCCCATCTACAAGAGAACCCTGATAGCCTTCCATTATTCCGAGAGGAGGGGATGATGTGAGGGCCAAGTGTACGGCTACGATGCCGTATACTAATATTAGCGTAGTGGGATTTTGGTAGCTGTCGGATTGATTTCAATCCGGACCACTTGCTCCTGTATATAAGCTAGGGTTTTTGGGCTAATTGATATGCACATTTCTGTATTCCCTTTCCATATTCCAGGCACTTACACCACCATTTTTTTCAATTGATTAAAAGTCTTGGGATACATAAAATTATATGATATCATCATATTTAAATTTAAGGAATCATATCATATATTAAAATTGACATTTAGTGGTCTAATTTGCTAAGTATAATAGATTAAATGAGATAGTACATTTGGGTTCAAATGGGGAAGCTTAAAGGTATTTATTTAATTAAGGAGCTTCACAAATCAGAATAATGATGAAAAAGAAGATCACAAATTTGAATAATCAAGAAATTATAAATTAGAGTGGAAAGAGAAGATCACAAATAGGAATAATCAGAAAATCATGAAAGATCACAAATCATCATGTCTAAAACCAATTTTGGAATTAGACTTGCATAAACTAGTGATGTCACATTGTATAAATGATGTGAGGTCAGGCTTTAAAAAAAAACACATGTGCAACACTATTCAAATGTTTGCTAGAAATTCTTTTTGTCTCCTGACATCCAGACAAAGACAAGCAAATTTTTTTGGTCTCCTGACATCCAGACGAAGAAAATCAAATGTTTTGTCAACACACAGAAAAAGAAAACCATAGTCAACACTCAACACACAGGTGGGAAAACGTATTAGCCAAACAAAAACATCAAAGAGACAGAAATGCTCTGCCTAGACCAGATATTCCGAGGGACTCCACGTCTGGAACTGTGCCATTGTGGTGGGAGATATCCCCTGCAACGGCGGCATATTCATCTCCTCGCTTGCTCGATCTCGGGGCTGCGGGAACATCTCAAATTCCTCCCTGGGGTCATCGGGGAAGTTTAGATGCGCGCGAATTCCCTTGAATCCCACCGCCGCTCGATCGTATGCCCTTGCGGCTTCCTCGGCGTTGTCATACGTTCCAAGCCACACTCTCGCGCGGGCATGGGGGTTGCGTATCTCCGCCGCCCACCTCTCGCCCCTCTTTCTCACGCCGCGGTAGCGCCTGGGCTCCCGATCCATGCCCTGTCGCGCTCGCGAGCTGCCATGGCTGTAATCGCTGAAGGATCGCCGGCGTTTGGGCGGCTCGCTCTCGACCGCCTCTGCGGAGGGAGGATCATTGAGCGGAAAGCATGGGAGAGGAAGTTTGAATTCACCTGTTGGCGCGTCGTCCAATCCAAGAAGCTCGTGAACAGGGGATGGCGCCGAGAATGACGAGCACTCGAATTCCTTGTCGAAGTACCACTGCTCGCACGATTCCAGGCGTTGCAGCTCCGGCAGCTGCTCTGCGGCCTCCTCCTTTCCTTCTCTCGTGACATCGCCATGATCCTGATAATGCTCGACGAGCTCGCGATGATCAATGTCATCGACTGCTGCGGCGGAATTCTCCATCTAAAGAGTGTCCGCCGCGCTTCTGTAAGAGGGGAATTGCCCAGTTCTTCCGGAACTTATATCCCCGGGGAAGAGGGAAGAGGCTTCGTGTGTAGCTTCTGGCACGTACGGAGTCACAGAGGAGGCGCCCAAATGCCTACAGCGAAAATTTTCCGCGGTATCACCCAAAAAGATGATTCCCATGATATACTGCGTCCGGTCCCAATGATTACTCGATCACGCTCCTTATTTCCCGCGTCCTTATTTAAACGGGGGCCGCGTCTTCTATTGACTCGTGCAACAACAAAAGGTTGATTAATCAAAATAATTAGTAGTGTTTTAAGTTAATGTAAACATGATCACGTTAACCATCACAGCCACTATGAAGTCCTTGCTTGTGTAAAACTTAGCATCTTCTTTCCGAATCGTTTTGGTCCAGCTCGCGCGTTGCAACGAATAAGCTCCTGGGCCGTAGTTTTGATACTCCCCAAAGAAGGCAGTGCTGCAAAAGAGAGAGATAAAAAGTACGTAAGCGGCTCTTGATGTTACTCGTGATAATTTACCTGTTGGATAGGCCGTAAACATCGTTCCAGTGAGTCCAACCAACGGGATCTACCACACTCTCCATGTAGCAATTGCTGAAAACCACAAATGCGTTGCTCCTCCAAGGTCGGCCCAGCGTGAGCTTTCCAGTCCCTCCAATGTAGCAATTGTGGAACGAGTATCCAAATCAGTGAGGGCAGATTTTCCTTGTGCCGTCAAGGATCCAGTGGTTGTAGCATTGGAATTCGATATGAGATTACATTTCTGAGAAAGAGAGAGTTTTTGTGAGCATTTCGTTTGAAAAGTTAAAAGACAGTTCTCCTTACCTCATAGAGTGACCTCCCAAAGCCAAAGATGAAATCTATGTTCCCCTCGATATATGTATTTTTGAAGTAATGCCTCCCACGGTCATCCAAGAGAGTGTCCTGGCTTGAGAGGATGAAACAATCAGAAATCTTTGCAAAATCGCCACTTAATTTCAAAGCTACGGCTTGCATATCATGAGCTCCTGGATTTGCAAATGGTGCATCGTTCTATCAAAACAAAAGACAACCCAAAGTTTTTTAAAAGATAAAATCATAAGAATTCTTACTTGAAACGTAATGTATTCAGCAACAAAATATTTAGAAAGTACTTCAAAAGTTGCCCTTTTCCCAGTACCATTAGCTGAAGCATGGTTTGCATTATGAACAATCATATCCAGATAAGCCATGTAGTGTGATATAATCTTTAAACATTGGTATGTTGATCTTCTCACTGCATTTTCAAAACTAAATTACAAAAAAAAAGAAAAGAAAAAACAAGTACATACCAATAAACACCAGGTTGAACTAAAATCACATATCGATTTGATGCATTATAAGGAATCCAATCAATTGCAGTTGTGATATTTGAAACAATAATACTACCCTTTGGAGCAACATCATTAGCTACATCAAATTTGGGATTAACAGATATATAAACTGGATGGCTGTCAGCATTTGTTACTGACTGGTGTTTTTCAGTGTCACAAAGAATGCATGGAGCAAGAATCAAACTCAACAAACATCTACTAATAAATATCAAATTATAATTTCTCCAATTCTAATAAACATTTTTAATGTCAAAGCAACTAGAAACACTTTTAGAGCAGCTACAAACATATAATATAGCAACAAATTTGCGTACACATTTTTTCTTATCATAATCACTTTATTTCGGTTTTTTATTTTGATTTTTTCTAGTTATACTAGGCACTGAACTTATGTTTCGTGCTCTCAGAACTCAAGTGCTCGCATTTTATCTATGTACAAAAAGAGCCATCGCCGCCAGCAGCTCTTCGGAATTGGATGCAGCATCAACGCCCGATGACAAATCCTCCTCTTGGCTTCTCTTGCTCCTCCACACTATTGTCTTGTGCGAGCCACGGGAGAGCATCTCGTGGTCTGAGTCGCCGCTCTTGCCAACGCACACAAACATATTGGGAATCTCCACACCCCATCGAATGTAAAGGTACCTGAAAAATCACACGAGAGGGAAGAAACTCCATGATCTTGATCCAAGATCTCGTAATTAACATTCATTACCTTAGAGCTGACCATCGCGAAGCAAACAGCGGAAGCACATGAAGCCTCGTCCCATTCTGGCAGCTCACGATATGGCAGCGAAGGCCTCGCATCCTCAGCTTCTCGTGAAGCTCCTCGATCTTCATTCCCTGCAAGTCACGAGCAAAAAACCATCAGAAAAGAAAGACCAATGGTCCCAAGAAGAAAAGTTGGCAAGAACTTACGTGGTAACTATTGCGCGACGCCGTTTGATACGCCAGGCAGCGGGAGTTACTCCTCTTGGCCTCCTTGACGATGCCACTGGCGCGGCCATTCTGGAGCTCAAACAGCCTCGCCAGCGTCTTCTCCATCCCCTCGATGTTCCAACGAAACTCTACGTGCTTCTCGTAGTCAAGATCTTTGGAGAGCAGTGGCAGCGACGATGGATCCCCCTTTTGCTCGTCTCTCTCGCTGCTGCTACCGCTCGCTACCGGATAGTAGAGCTCGGCCCCGCTGCTACAGACCAAAGCATCAAACTCGAGCACCGAGACTCCGACCGCCTTGAGCCCGAGCTGGACCTCGGACGCCGTGAGCGACGTGGATATCACTAGCCCGGTCTCGCTCTTGCCACCATAGCTCCTCCCCGCAATCACCACGTCCCGGACGAGCTCGTGGCTCCGGAGGTTGTCCACCGCGAGGACCAGGAGATTTTTCCTTCTTCTCAGCAAAGGCCACCTTGTAGCAGCAGCAGCAGCAGTAGTAGTAATCGTGCCAAGCTCGCTGCTCTTGGCTTCCTCCGGGACGTCGCTAGCGTTCTTCTTGTGAGACTGCGCGTACTTCTCCACGAATCTCTTGATGTCTTCCACGGTGATGCTGCTCTTGCCATTGGTGACGCTCCCGTAGCTCTGGAACCTCTCGCCATCGACGGAGAGGCGGAGGGAAATTTCCTGGGAGTCGTGGAGGGACGAGTCGAGCTCCACCTCGTTGGAGTAACTGTCCTCAGTGCTCCACTCCGGGTGCCTCGTCCGGCATGAGATTATCCGGGAGAGATAAGTTCGGCAGTGCTCCGGCCACGAGTAGACGTTGATGTTCTTGAGGCCGTTTCTCTGGCATTCCAGCCACAGGCCCCTGTCTGCTAGCAGCTTGAGGAGTGCCTCCGCGATGGCCTTGTCGTCGTGCGGATCAACCAAGAGACCATTGTGCAATGCCTGGAAGAACGGATAAAAAACTTCGCTAGAGGAGTTAAAAATGTGGAGTTTACCTGTTGTATATCAACTGGGCCACCATTTGAAGTGGCCACCATTGGCAATCCATGAGCAGCTGCCTGTATAGATAAAGAAAAAGAAAACTAGAACTTACGAAACAAAAAGTGAGAAGAAACTGTTACCTCGATCAAAGTTAAGCCAAAAGGCTCGACCAGAGCTGGATTGATAAACACTCCCTGGACCACAATAGTATTATTTATGCTAGAACAGGAAGAGAGAGATCACCTTCGTCTTTGCTGCAAGCTGATATATTGCGGGAACTTCATACTGTTTGTGATGTTTGGGATACGAGACTTGGCCATGAAGATCGTACTTGTCAATGAGCTTCAAAACAGTGGTCAAAACACTTGCATTGGCCGCAGACATGTCATCGATATCATCCCTGTTCCCCATGATCAGCGTCTGGAAAAACAAAGATACAATAGGATAAACAAAGTAGAAAGATAGTATTACCAAGTTCGCGAGATCTCTCAACAACATGCACTCTCCATAAGCTTTTAGGAGAGTGGTGATATTTTTCTTTGGATCCGGACGAGCGAGCGCCAGGATCATTGGCTTGTGAGGATTGTGCAGGAAGCGCATGATCTGTACAGTACAAAAAAAGTTGACGTGAAGTTCCTCCAACCGAAGAGAAAGAAAACATAAATCCCTCACATCTCCCCAGATTGGAGGATCCATCTTTGGCGACGTTGGCAACGAGACAGTGTTGCCATGAATCTCATTCGCTATAGCAGCAGTCTCAGAATCAAGAACTACATTGCTAAAATCCATTCCTGGAGGAATAACCTGTAAGTTCAAGCTTAGTTCAAGAACAAAGAACGAAGAACACACGATAGAACTTACCACCATGCGAGGCATGAACCGGCCATGGCAATTCAGTCCCTTCTTCGCTCTGATCTTGAGAACTCTGTCCACCTTCACGTCGTAGCCAAAGTAGTAATCCCCCCACTGCTCCACAACTTCCTGCTTGGTGCTCGTGATAACAAGCTCAGCTACGTCCAAACACGTCTCCTCGGCCTCGATGCGCCGGAAGATCTTGTAAGTCGAGTTCACGTCCTCCCTCGACTGCCTCCCCTGGACGAGGAGCTGCTCGAGCTTGTTTCGTCCCAACGAGTGTCCCGTCATGACCATCGGAACGTTTAGAGCCCCGGATATCAAAGCAGCGGCGTAGCCAGCGTCGGCATAGTGTCCGTGAACTACCTGAGGCCAGACCAGCTCCCTGGACGCTGCCGGCGGAGTGGTACCATTGGTGTTACCATGGTAAAGATGGTGGTGAAGCTGGTCTGCGAGAACTTTGGCCATGTCTTTGATGTGAGCGAGCGCTCCATCGACGAACTCCTCGATGTGAGGCCAGAGGAGCTCCTTGCGGAGGTACTGCTCCCTCGGACCACAGGGAATCCGGACGATATACGCACCGCTGCTCTCGCCACCCGTGCAGCACAGCATCTCAGTCGGCTCACAGTAGCTCCAGTCCACCTCGTCCGTGGCGCATATCTGGCGTGTCAAGAGGTCCACGCGGTACACCCCCGGCATCGCAGCCAGCGATTTTGCGAGCTCCACTACGTACTTGACCTGCGAGAAACAAAGCGTGGCGAGCACGGTAGCGTGAGAAAGCCAAAGAACTTTTAAGGAGAAAGGAGTGGAAGAGCAAGCTCGGAAGGAAGCAAACGATCTCTCATTCATTCATGCTCGCCAAGAAACCAGGGACAGAGACAAAGGCGAGCTCATGCCAGACAAAGCTTGTATTACTTCTGTGCTTTGGCCACAGACACATTGAACGGCTCTTTGTTGTTTAGCGAGCAAGCAATCAAGGATTTGCGAAGCGATCAATCCAAGCGTGCAAAGGCAGTTTAAAGCTCTCACGGGGATCATCAAAGATCATCAAAGACGAAAGCAAACAAAGAAGAGCTCCAGGAAGAACGAAGAACAAAAGAACAAAGAAGTTTCTTGTTACCTGTCCACCGGTATCGGAGTCTCGTCCCAGCTCCATATTCTCGCCACGAACGAGGCCATGCAAGCTGCAACGGGAGAAAGTTTAGAGAGCTTTTGCGCAATCCAAGAATGAAACTAAAACGAGAGGAGAGCTCTTCGTGAATTTTTCTAAGGGCGATCGAAAAAGCACAAGAAACTTCACGAAGAACTAGGAGGAAGAACAAAGATGGAGAACAAAAGATATACCTGATCAAGACGATGTACATGTTTCTTCCTCGCTCTTGATCGCTCCAGCTGTGGAGCACCGAGAGGTTTCTAAGCATGCATTTCTTCTTGGTTCCACTGCCGGACGAGGACGACGAGTTTGCCTCGGCAAGCTCGAGCTTCTCGCTGTCGGAGAGATCCTCGAGCAGCTCCTCCTCGGCATCGCGTTGCCCTCTTTCTCGCGCCGCTCGCCCCTGCGCCCGCTCGCTCTCGATCCTCTTCCACTTCCTCCGCTCGAACCAGATCCGCCAGCACAGATTCTCCAGCCGGACGCTCTGGATCTTATCATTCCTCCTGACCGTCGCCTAGCAATCAAGAACAACAAAGAACAAAAGAAAAAAAAAACAAGAAAAAAGCAAAGAAACAAACGATCAGCTCAGCAGCATGGAAAACCAATCGCCCAATTGCGGCAGAATCCGCGACCCAACTCGCTCGCGAATCGAATGATCGCGACCCCAGACGACGATCGCCAGGGATTCGGCGACCCAACACCGCGATCATCAAGAAACAAGAGCAAAACAAAAAAAGGACGATCAAAGAAAGATCACCTTGGCCCAAGATTGATGGATGTCGCGCTCCTCGAATTTGCTCACGACCTCCTCCACGAAGTAGCGAGACACCCTCCACACCTGGCGCGTCTCCTCCGCCCCAACCCTGTTCTTGGGCGACGATCGAGACGATGGAGCGCAATTCCTGTGGACATCGCTGCCAATCTCTAGGAATGCATTGAGGTAGCCATCGATCCATTCGTTCCCTTCCATTGGAGGAGCTGGAGCGCGGCACCTCCACCCCTGATTTTCAAAGAAATGGGCTTCCCTCCTTATTCCCCAGGTGGAGGTTTTTTTTCTCCTCCTCCCTTTCCCATTTTAAAACCCCCTGCCACCTCTAATTAATTTTAGGTTAACATATGGGAATATTCGGGTTTTCTTAGCTCCAAAATTAAAAGAGAGAGAGGAGCTAATATATCAAAGTGTAATGATGGAGATATTTTCAATAATGCAAGAACATCCGCGCATTCTTATAATTGTGGGTTCTGTTTTTTTTTTTTTCCTCCTTTGGTCTCGATTCGATTGCAAAAGTTCATGGTCTCGTGAATTTTTGCAGTGTCGTATGATTCTTTGGGAAATTATTTTTCCAAAGTAGAGAGATTCGGGCACCTCAATCACGCAAAAGCTCACGGGCTGATTCAGAAGATATCGATCTCTCTCTCTCTCTCTCTCCTCTCTCTCTCTCTCTCTCTCTCTCTCTCTCTAGTGTGTTTGTGTTTGTGTGTCTCTGTCTGTGAGACACGTCCCTTGATCAAATGGTTGTCTGCTTGAATCAAACCTTGAGCTGGGCAGCCTCAAGACAAAAGATATATGTATATGGTGAAGAATGTGAAAGTTACACCAATGCGAGTGTGTGATAGAGAGATACGATCAGGACAATTATAGAGCCCACGTAAGGTTCTTTCTCTCGTTGTCGCAGTTCATTCCGTTTAATTTCATATATAGTCCAAGCAGACCAACTCCCAAACGATCCAACCGTCCACACGAGCCTTTCTCGTGAATTGTGAAGAGATAAAACTACCAACTGCTTGCAATCCCTCACTGTCCACAAATTATGAGGAAAATTTCTCTTTTCTTTTAGAATGTTTCTATTGTTATTTGAAGAAAAAGGACGAGAAAATAAATGTGGTCATGCAGATGGGGAGGTGTTTCTTACTCTTGCGTTTCTGACTCGCCACAGCAGCAACAGCAGACCCACCTGTTGACAAAACAATACAAATGCGAAACCGAAAGGATTTTCTGTCGTTTGGGGGATGGAAACGTATAAGGGGGTTGGTTTTTGGGCAGTAGAACGTGGAAGGCGGGGATAGCTCAGTTGGGAGAGCGTCAGACTGAAGATCTGAAGGTCGCGTGTTCGATCCACGCTCACCGCACTTCATTTTATTTTCCATATGCGCATATTCTTTTTGGGGGTTTTAGCGGGATTTTAGGGTTTATGGGTGCGAGCGGGACGAGGACGAGGAGGGATCCATGCGTGGCGCCGGGAGCCGCATTCGCCGCCTCCACAGCGGCGACGCCATCGTCTGCCGCCTGATCCAGGTCCGCCACGGCAAAGGTACCAAATGGCCGCTCGAGTACTCGCGCAAGAAGTGGTTCTTGGGGCCGCCCAAGCTCCCGCCCGAGATTGTCGAGTGGCACGAACAGGTGAAGCAGGCGGAGATGGATCGGATCGAAGCCACGCGCCCGGACGTCGTCCCGCCCCAGCCCCGGATCCGGGGCTCCTCCCACATTGCCGTGACGCTCCCCAGGGTCCACGCCCTCAAGAAAAAAAGAGGATTGGCAGCCAGGAAAGAGGAAGACGAAGAAATAGCGGAAGAACAAGAGAAGAAGATGGAAGACAAAGAAGAAGAGGATGGAGAGTGCGAAGAAGAGAGGAGGCGGAAGGATGAGAAGCTCATGGACGAGCTTGTGGACTACTACAGGGAGTGTGCCGAGTGTGGGATCGTCCCGGAGAAATCCATGGGAGTGAAGATGGCTTTCAAGGACTACGCCTATCTTTTCCTCCAGGCCGGGGAGGACCGCGATATAGTTCGAGGAAAATGGGGGCACGCTCACGCGCTCTCTCACGGGCATCGCTCCAACAGGTACCTCGGCAATTGCCTCATGATAATGTACAACCGGTGCGGCTACGTCCACGAGGCCCAGAAGATCTTCGACGACATCGTCTGGAAGAACGTCTTTACGTGGACTGTTTTGATGAAGGGGTACGCCGACTTTGGCGAGTTCGAGCGCTCGGTGGCGCTCTTCCGGGAAATGCTGGCTCGCGGCGAGCCTGCCAACGAGTATACTTTCAGCTGCGCGCTCACTTGCCTCGGTGCTCTGAGGATGCTGGAGCAGGGAAGGGTGGTGCACGGGATCGCGAGGGAGATGAGCTTCTCGTCCCGGATCACGGCCGGGAACGCGCTGATAAGTATGTATGGAAAGTGTGGATCCATTCCCGACGCTAAGAACGTTTTTGATTCCATGCAGGAGAGGAACGTCGTGACATGGAACGCTCTCATCGCGGCCTACGCGCAGAACGGTCTCTACAGGGAGATCGAGTGGCTTCTCCCGGCTATGGAGGTTGACGGCGTGAGGCCGAACAAGATCAGCTTCATGGGGATCTCGCTGGCCGTGCCGAGCTTTCGGGATGCTTTTGTGTCGGCCAGGCAGGTCCACAAGAGGATGTTTGATCTCGGGCTCGACCTGGTTGGCTACACGGCGCTGGTGAAGATGTACGGGAGGTGTGGTCAGGTCGAGGATGCGGAGGTAGTCTTTGAGGGGATACCGTGGAAGGACGTAGTGGCTTGGACAGCGATGGTGACGAGCTTTGCACAGAATGGGTTTAGTGACAGGGCCTTCGAGTACTACCGAAAAATGCAGCTCGAGGGAAGGGTACCAAACAAGATAACTTTGCTCGGGATTGTGGATGCGTGCGACAGTGCTCACAGGTGCAGGGAAATCCGGACACGCATGGAAAGAGCTCCGTTTCAGTCGGATACTTCGGTGAAGAATGCGCTGCTAAGTCGGTTTGGAAGGCTAGGCAGCATTGACGACGCTAGAGATGCCTTTAAGAGCATTGGCAAGAGGAACCTTGTGTCCTGGAACGCGATGATCTTCGCGCTGGTGCAGCACCAAAAGTTCGAAGAGGTTCTCGATGCTTACAGGCAATTGCAACTTGACGGGGAAAAGGCTGACAGGATTAGTTTCATCGGAGTTCTTGACGGCTGTGCGATGCTGGAGGACTTGGTCGAAGGAAAGAAAGCTCACAGGCATGTTTTGGAGAAGGGACTTTCGAAAGACAGGATGATTCGTAATGCGCTGGTCAACATGTATGGGAGGTGTTCCAGTGTGGAGAAAGCTCGGCAAGTGTTTGAGAAGATAGAAGAGAAAGACATCGTCTCCTGGAACGCACTTGCCTCGGCCGCTGCGAGACACCAGCTACATGACGAGGTTTTGGAGCTGCTCAGGGAAATGGATCTGGAAGGTGTCAAAGCGGACAGCATCACTTTCATTGCTGTGGTCGGGGCGTGTGGAAGTTTACGTGCTGTACGTGAAGGGACAGAAGTTCACGGGAGGATTTACGCTGCTGGACTCTTGAATGATTCGGAGAAGAGCCGCAAGCTCAAGACGGCTCTGGTGGACATGTATGGGAAGTGTGGAAATGTGGAGGCTGCAAAAGAGGTCTTTTCCAGCATTCGGGGAGGGGACGACATTCCATGGACTGCTATGATGGCGGCTTCAGTTGGAAACGCGGTAGGAACCTTGAGGTTACTCCAGGAAATGGATTTGGAAGGGGTCAAGCCGAGTAGCATCGCGTATGCGGTTCTTCTCGATGCATTCACAGGTCCGTTCGCTCTGGGCGATGGAGAAAAGATCCATGCACGGATCAACGAGAGGTGGCTTCACAAAAACGCTCTTTTAAGCATCTCCCTTGTCAATATGTACGCAAGGTGTGGATGCTTGGAGGAGGCCAGAAAGGTGTTTGAGCAGCAGGGCGACGATCTTGACAGTGTGGTCTTGTGGAACAGCATGCTGGCAGCTTTTATCAGTCAGGGCCACGGCTACGAAGCTCTCGAGCTCTCGCTGAGAATGGACTTAGAAGGTGTAAGGCCGAGCGAGACCACTTTCGTCGCCTTGCTCGAAGCCTGTAGCTTGGTCACGGACAGACAACGCGGTGACAAGCTCTATCGCCGGTTTAGACGCAGTGGTTTCGCTCCCAACGTCATCGTCGACACGGCTCTTGTCAACTTACACTCGATTTCCGGCGGTAGCCTGGAAGATATCCGGACCTTCTTCGACAAGATGAAAGTCAAGACACAAGTATCGTGGAGCTCCATGATCTCGGCCTATGCGCGAAGAGGCCTTCCCGACGAGGCGCTGGAGCTGCTTGGAAGCATGATCCAGCTCGGGCTGGACCCGGACGGAGTTACTTTCATCAGCTTGCTCTCCGGTTGCAGCTATGGAGGACTGGTGGACGAAGCTTGCCAGTGTTTTTACTCGCTGGAGCACGACCATGGATTAAAACCGGGAGTGGAGCACCAACGGATAATGGTGGACGTTTTGGGACGAGCAGGCTGGCTCGATGAAGCCGAGAAGATGGCTGGAATGGCGAGCGACGAAAAAAATATCGAGGGTGGCACTGGTGCGTGGACGAGCCTCTTAAGTTCGTGTAGAAACTTTGGAGACTCCGAGAGAGGCGCTCGAGCAGCGGCGGCGGCCTCGCAGCGGGAACCGGGCAGAGCATCGTCTTATTTGATTCTCTCGAGTATCTACGCCGAAGAAGCCGCCGCTCGCGAGAGTGCTAGTTTCCTGGCTGGGAATGATCCGTCGAGCTGGGGTGCCGCGTGTGGGGAGATCACTCCAGTGGAGGACGATGAGGACGAGCTGATTAGCATCTCCAAGCTCGCTCGAATGGGTCCTCGGCGGCCAGGGAAGCCCGACGGTCTGGACGCTTGAGGAGGAAAAAGAAGCAAACTACTATTTCCCTCCAAAAGGAGGAAAACTTTCGGCTAGGTTGGGGCCAAGGTGGGATTTTGGAGTCGCCCTCTTGGATTTTGGGAGTAGCTTGTGCGATCTTTGGTGGCTGGGATGAAGGTTTTGGCTTCCGAGCAAGGTGGGTCTGTTTCTTGCTTCCAGGGCTCGGCATTGTTGAGCTTACAAACGAGTTTTTCGCAGACTGGCAGATTGTGGACGACGATGGGTTTGTGTACAAGCGAGCAAGACGGGAGGAGGCGGCGGCCATAGAGAAAGTTCGAGAAATTGAAGAAGAGGAAGAAGAAGAAGACGAAGACGAACTAGACGTTGTGAGTCCACAGGAACTGCTGGCACAACGGCGAGAACTTCTACTCAAGAAGAAAGAAATGTAAGTTTTCTTTTTTCTCGCGTTTCCTGAGAACTTACAGATTTTCTCGCACAGGTACGCTACAGAGCTCAGGCTCTGGGACGAACTCCTCTCGAGACAAGAAGAGATAAACGCCGCCACACTTCCTCCATCTCTTCCTTCGGCGGTGACGGACTCTCCGGCCATCATGCTCGGGGAGCCTCACTACGAACCATACGAAGAACTCTTGCAAGAGGTGTGTTGTGTGTAGATTTTTCTTTTCTGGTAGCACTCCTAACGATTTCGCTTCGTCTCCAAGATCCAAGATCTCGAGTTTTTCATCCAAAAGTACACGAGCTTCTGCGAGAGAGCCGAGGACATGGTGATGCTGCTCAACGAGAAGATCAAAAACCACAGGTTGCAGCAGCTGCGCAGCCCTCGCCAGATCTTCCTGGAAACGACGACCAGCGCTGACTAAAACGCTCGCCGATCCGACGGGTGGCACCCGGCCTTGTGACGGACGGCTCACATTAAATATACCAATCGCATATGCCCCCGCCAATTCAAAAAAGCGAGGGCTTGAGGGGCGCGACTTTTAGCACTCCAAAACCCCTGTGGTGGGGGCCGAGAGGAAGAAGAAGCCATGGATTCACGGATCACTCCCACCGATCAGTTGCAAACAAATTGGGAGCTGAGGCTGTGACGCGATTAGGATCAAAGAGGAGAGGAATCGAGATCACGCACCAAGGAAAGAGCCCAGAAGAGCGAGCACACCAGTCTAATCAACCGGATCAAAGAAACAAGGAAGACCTAGCTCCATCCAGCAATGCCTCGCCGACGAGAACGCACGCCCGGCCCGGGCGCCTACAACCAAGACCACCGCCCCATCACGCCCTCCTCGCCGGCATTCACCATCGCCGGCAAGCGCACTGGCTCCCTCTACAACGACAGCCCCGGCCCGGGGACATACACACCCGGCCGACAATACGGCGCCCCGGCATTCACCATCCCCGGCCGCTACTCCGGCCCCTCCGACAACGAGAACCCTGGTCCCGGATCCTACCACACCGACTCCAACTTCCTCTACAAGCGCGAGCCGGCCTACACCATCTCCTCCCGCAACCTGGGCAGCCACCGCGACATGAGCCCCGGCCCCGGACAGTACAACGTCCCGCGCGGGGAACACGGCCCTGCCTTCAGCATCGCCGGCAAGCGCTCCCCGCGGGCGGGGGAGCGGTCCCCCGGCCCGGGGGCATACACCGCCGGCGACACCCGCCCGCGCAGCCCGGCCTACACCATCGCGGGGAAGGCGTCGCGTGTCGGCGGGGAGCAGACACCCGGGCCGGGGGCATATACCCCCGGCCCGGTGTCCAGGGGACCGGCCTTCACCATGCCGTTCCGGCGGGACTGGAAGCCCGGTGACCAGGGCCCGGGGCCCGGCCAGTACGAGTTTGAGACCGGGATCAAGGCCACCACCAAGAGGATGCCGGCCTTCTCCATCGCTAGCAAGAGGGACTCGCGGATTTCGGAGTCGGGGCCGGGTCCCGGGACTTACACGCCGAGGACGAGGATCGCGCTGGACGCGCCGCCGGCCTACAGCATCGCCGGGAGGAGGGAGGTGAAGAACTTACACCCCACGCCCGGGCCTGGATCTTACAATGCCGACGAGAGGCTCCACAGCCCGGCCTTCACCATCGCCGGGAAGAGGCCCAAGGGGCTCGGGGATAGCAACCCCGGGCCGGGAGCTTACACGCCGCGAGATATGTACAGCCCGCCCGCGTTTTCCATGGCGAGGAGGAGGCAGGACGGGCTGACGAGCCACACCCCCGGTCCGGCTCACTACCAGCCCAACGATTGCCTGTACAATGTGAGCAAGAAGCCGCCAGCTTTCTCAATGGGGATGAGGTACCTGAGGAGCGCCGGGGACGAGAGCCCCGGGCCGGGGTCGTATCGGTTGACAAAGTTGGACCGGGGACCGGCGTTTGGGATGGGCAAGGCCGAGAGGTTCGACGAGGACTGATCAAGGCGGTGGTGCTGTTTTGGCAACGTAAGCTCTGTTAACAAAAGGTTGGTTTTGATGAAAGAAACTTGCAAAAAAGAATAGCTCACCTCCTCCTGTGCTGCATTGCTCATTCAAGCTTTGTTCCTCGGATCGGTTTCTCTCAAGCAGGCCAACGGAATGGAGGTTGTAGTCCGTCGACTGGGATGATCGTTGTTCTTGGTAGCTCCCTCGGTGAGACAAACAAAAGTTTTAGTTCTTTACACCTTCTAGCAGCCTGAGCGCAACCACGTGTCCGCGCCACTTGTCAAGAGCACAACTACATTATACTTGCTCAAATCGCCTGAGAGAACAAGTTTTAGCATTGCAAGAAAGAAATAAAGATGGGATCCTCACCAGCGGTTTCCAATGCCGTGTTCAAGGAGATTTCTCGCAGAGCCGTCCCCATCTCCCTCCACAATCCAGCTCGTGATCTTGCGCCTCTCATCGAACGCATCGCCAAGGCCAAGGTGGTGATGCTCGGCGAGGCCACGCACGGGACACACGAGTTCTACGAGTGGCGTCGCATCATCTCCGAGATCCTCATTGCCCACCACGGCTTCACCACCCTCAGCATCGAAGGCGACTGGCCACCGTGCCAAGAAGTCAACCGCTTCATCACCAAAAAGGGGAGTTCTTCCGCCTCTAGTGCCGAGGAGCTCCTTGCAAAGTCATTCAGGCGATGGCCGACTTGGATGTGGGCCAACGACGAGTTCCGGGCGATGGTGGAGTGGATGAAGGAGTTCAACAGCACCCGACTGGACCGTGAGTCTCAGGTTCGTCTCTTCGGTCTGGATGTCTACTCGTTGTTCGACTCCATCGCGATTGTTCTGGACGAAGTGGCCAAGATTGACCCCGATCTAGCTGAGAAAGCTAAGCATCACTACGCATGTTTCGATCCCTTCCAGGCAAACGAGGAAGAGTACCTGGAGTCCTTGGTGGAGTTCCCGGAGGGATGCCAGGCCGAAGCTCTCAGAGTTCTCAAGGATCTTCTGAAGAAGAGGATCGACGAAGAGACGGCAGCAGCGGATGGCGATGTCGTGTTTGATGCGCAACAAAACGCCAGGATCGTCCGGAACGCCGAGAGTTACTATCGAGCAATGGTGTATGGAAACGAGGACTCGTGGAACGTCCGCGAGAGCCACATGATGGAGACACTGGACCTGCTGCTGAAGACGAGGCCTCACAACAAACTCATTGTCTGGGCTCACAACACCCACATCGGAGACTACCGCGCCACAAACATGCGTAAGATGGGCCAGGTACTCGAGTTCTTTTTTCTTCTCGTCACCTTTCAGCTTCCGACTTCCAGGTGAACATCGGCGGCCTGGTTCGTGAGAAATACGGTGAAAGTCAGGTAGCACTCGTAGGATTCGGTACCTTTAAAGGCTCGGTCATTGCTTCGTCCAAGTGGGCTGGTCCCATCCTGCAACTTCGTGTTCCGGAGGGCCGAGATGGCAGCTACGAGATGATAATCCACGAGGCGGCTCAGCAGGAGAAAATTCCCGGCGACGCTTTCTACCTCCTGCTTGACGATTCTGAGGCAAGAAAAATCCAGCACTGTCTATCAGAATGGAGAGGCCAGAGGGCCATAGGCGTGGTATATGATCCAAAGAAAGAAAAGTGGGGAAATTACGTACCAACAATGTTGGCAAAGAGGTACGATGCTTTCATCTATATTCACGAGACCAAGGCGTTGAGGCCCCTTGGCGCGACGCCTGACCTTCACGTGCTTCCTGAAACTTATCCGAGTGGTCAGTAGAATGAGAATTCTGAAAAAACGCAAAACAGGAGTGTGTGTATTTAACAAAAGCTTGTCTTTGAGGTTTTTCCATACCGTGAAATGGAGTTCTCTCTTTTTTTGCTACACATACCCGTGTCAGTTTCTATGCTTTTCTCTATTTTCTTATGCGCTTCGCCTCTGTCTAATGAGACCAGGGATCTGCCAAGCTCCGGTTAGATAAATGGTTTTCATCGGAAAAAGGCTTACATCAATACCGTGCGCACCGATGCGGTTTCGAGCAACAAATGTAAGTACAAGAGACGAAAATTCTTCGGGCACGTCTTCCTGTTCAAGGATGTTCCAATCAACAAACTATAGAGCAGAAAACAAAAGAATGTTTTTACCTGTATCGCGTGACCAGTGTGACGGACTACAATCATTTGAAACTTGCCTTGCATTTGTCCAATGGTAAGGGATCTGAAGCAATTATACGTTTGAGTGACATCGAAAGCAACTTCAAACATGCATACTTATCCAAACGGTCTGTTCCAGCCAGCAAGAGAACTTTTGCAACTGGTGCCGACAGAAAAATATCCGACAAACCTTCATACCTGCAAAGTAAAATAATCTCCTCAAAAATGAAAACAGTGTTTGTGCAAAAATGCAAATACCAGCCTCTCCAATGTCGTTCACTCTTTTCCAACGGTGTAAGCCACACGTAACTGCAGGCAGAATAGATTGAACTGAAGCAAAAAGAAAAAGCAAAAAAATAAATAAAGAAATGAAACCGACCATTTTCTTTCTTCATTGTATTTCAATGTTGGGGGGATCGAGACTCGAGCTGAGTCGATGTTCCTAAGCGAACCTCCTTTCACATTCCATTCTATCTGAACAAGCAAGTAAGGTATGATTTTACACTGGCCTTTTAGCTTACAGCTTTTTCAACACTGGGAAATGCTGGCGGACGGTTGGACAATAGCTTTTGCATATGTATCAAAGAAGCTATAGCTGTACCCTGGACAAAGGAAATTATGAAGCTGGTATACAAGTTTTATCTCTTCTTACCTCTACGACATCGACGACAATAAGCCCGGCCAGCGTTCGAAGAACTCTTTTTGCAGCAACCCGAGTAGCAATCGCACCCCCCATGCTGGAAAAAAAAACCAAGTTAATAGATATCTCCGTAGCACTAGCAGCAAACCTGTGTCCGATTAACACAATAGATGGTGGATCGTTTTTGTACATGGTCCTGATAACGTCGAGAACATCTTGGCATAAAGTCTGTGGAGGAACTTTTAGAAATAATATTGTCATGAAGACCCTACCTCGGCAGATAAATCTAAGTCATCACTTGTGCGTGTCGAGCCATGACCTCGCATATCCATCGCAGCAACCTTGACTTTCTCTTTTAACATTCTTGCGGATAGCGCAAAAGATAGCCTGTAGGAAGAAAATCACAAGAGAAATCTAGAGAATTCATCGATGCTAAAGTTACCCGGAGGATCCGCCTCCGTGCAAACAAAAAAGAACCGGTCCTTGTGTGCCCGCCAAGTAGACGTGAAAACTCTGTAGCAAATGCGAGGTCAAAAACAGGAAGAAAAAGAATAGAAAATGCGGCTCACATCTTGACCGATTTCAACATCTAGTTCCTCGTCGAAGTAATCTGTCCAAGGCAGAGCTCCAAATTTGCTCCTGGAGCTCCTGGGAAAGCAAATATTTGAGCCGAGAAAGCAAGCCAACATCTCTCCACTTACCCCCAGGTTGGAATGCCGCTCGTCCCAGCACCGCCAGGCGATTGATCTTCCTCCCCGATCACTGGCGCCATCGCTGCGGCATCGGCCATTCTCCAAAAACCCTAGAGATTTAATTGTAGAAGGAACAGAGTTCGAATCCCTTGAAGAAAGTGATCATATAAACGCACCGTCGGATGAAACAAATCGACGGACGTGATTTGACCGTTATGATGCGCAATAGGGCTTGGCTCTGGCACTCGCGAGGTAGGCGATCAATCACATTCACTACTCTCCCTAGATGCCGATCCCCCAGGAAAATCGCTCCTCGCAGCTACATTCTCGATCGGGCTCTAGATTAGATTGGAAGAAGATCGATCCAGGGCAGTAGATGTCTCACGCTATGACGTGTGTGGATTCCCTGGACAGCCGGGAAGAGGAGCGATCCTTGAGGGGGAAGAACAGTGGCAGCAACGCTGGGACGCTGGACGAGCTAAATTTCTCCCACATCTTCGACTACAATGCGATCGAGCAAATCGCCAATGGGCTGGAGAAGATGGTCCAGTCCTGGAGCACTGCCCAGGAGGAGCGCGCACAGGAGTATGTCCGGGTCTCGGTTTCGCTGGAAGACGATGACTCCTCCACGAAGAAAATCCCGGAAGCTCTCGACTTAAACTCGCTCAAGAACATAGACGAGTATGTGGAGGTCGCCCCGCCGCCAATGTCCGCCAGTGCTACTACCGCGACGATCAAGCCATCTTCCAAGAATTTCTCGAGGATTTCTCCGGCCGAGAAGAAGCTTTCTTCTTCCACGGCGAAAGCTTCCAGCTGGGAGAAGGAAAAATCCGACTTTGTTCCTCTATCTGACAGGAAGGTTTCGCCACAGCCACCAAAGGCCGCGCCTTCTCCAGGACAGAGGTTTGGAGCTGGGATCACGAACAGGATCTCTGGCGGCTTCCAAAAGCCTGCCTCGCCATTCGAGAAGGAGAATAGCAGCGCTAGACCAGACTTTCTAAGCTCCATTCGCGGCGTGAACAAGCAAAAGGTGGTGGAACAGGAAAATGGTCGATATACTCCGAGGAAGAGCTCTCCCGAGGTGGCAACTTCTACAGCCAGTTCTCCGACCAGGCCTGAAGCTGGCCCGAGGAGGAACTTCCAGTGCCAGCTTCACAGGGATGCGAGCAATTCTCCTAACAGGGTTGAAATGAGCCCGAGGAGGAACTTCCCGAGCCAACTTCACAGGGAAGTAAGCACTGCAAGCAGTTCTCCAAACCGGTCTGAAGTGAGCCCGAGGAGGAACTTCGCGAGCCAACTTCACAGGGAAGCAAGCACTGCAAGGAGTTCTCCAAGCCGGTGTGAAGTGAGGGACTTCCCGAGCCCGCTTCACAGGGAAGTGAGCACTGGGAGTATTTCTCCAAACAGGTCTGAAGTTATAAGCCCGAGGAGGAACTTCCCGTGCCAACTTCACAGGGAAGTGAGCCCGAGGAGGAACTTGTCGTGCCAAGTTCACGGTAGAGAACCAAGTCCTCCAAAAAGAGTCCCTCTGGAATCCAGTTTCGCGAGCTATGCGCAGCAGCACCAGAACGTAGACACTACTCCGAAGAGCTTCGTCAGTCTCAGCCCCGAGAGGAGCTTCGTCCAACCGAGCAATGGTTTCGAGACTTACAGTGACGCGGTGGAGATGCAAAAGGTGTACATCGATGTGGCTACAAACTTGGAGAGAGCTTTCTCTCAAAAAGAATGTAGTGCCAGGGACGCGAATGCTGGTGACAATTCTGCGACAACGACGAAGCTTTTCCAAGATTGTAGCAAGGTAACATCTAGTCCAGCGCAGAAGAATGAAACGAGTATCTGGTTGCAAGATCCGGGAGAGCATCCGATGGAAGTCAGGTCCTCCAAAGAGTACGTCAGCTCACTCAACAGGAGCTTTTCAAGAGAGCTACCATCACAAAATGACACCTTGCTCGTGGGCATCCAGAAAGATTTTGCTAGAGCAGCTGCCACTCTCGAGAGAAACGGTCCCGAAAGCGCAGCGGAAATATCATCTGTCCGGGAGTCTCTGGAACTTCAAAACTCGTCGACACTTCTCTCGACACGGCAGAGCGTCCCCGAGGAGAGGAGCAGTAGGAACACCATCAACTTGAACGAGTCCGAGAGATTTACGATTGAAGACGTTCCTGAGTTCCAAGGGGATTTCAGTGGAAAGTATTCGGCAAGAAGCAGTCCTACAAAGCAGGATGCCGAGCCGGAGCAACCACAGCATTGCAAGAAGGAAGAACAAGCCGACGATACTTTCATCACCTCCTCGAGTTACTGGCGTGTTGAGCCCGAGGCTCTGAACGCCGAGGTGGGACAAAGAGATGAAACCAGCGAGAAACAGCAGCCAAGGTCGCAAGAGTGCTCATATGTGAACGAGGCGTTGTACGAAAAGGGCAACTTCACAGCTGAGAGACCTTTGAAAAGAAAAAAGGAGACTTTGGAGGTGGTGCGAAATGCCGCAGGCTACGAGTCCGAGTTTGAGATGCATGAATCTGCCGATTTCCCGTTCTTGATGGACAATGGCCACCCCGCTATAAGTGAAACCATTTTCATCGGTAAGAAGTCGAAGCTCTCTTTTTTTTCGGTTCCGCTAACAAACTCTTGTGTTTTACAACAGCCGAGGATTGTTTTGAGCCTGTGCCGACCAGACAATTCCCCACATTTGTTAACGTCCCGGCACCGATTGAGCTGGTATCTTCTATTCTTCCTGACGACCTTGTGTTTCGCAATAATATCTCACTCGCAGGATTTTGACGAATCGAAAGAAGCGTACAAGAGCAAAGTCGAGGAGCTTCAAATCGCTTTGCTAGAGTGTGCTGCAGAGTACGAAGTAAAGGTATGATTTTTTTTACCATATCTTTGTGCTGATTGTGAGGCCACAGATGGTTGAAATGGAAATGAAAATGCTGCAAATGAAGTCCAAGTGCCAGGGCCTGGAACAAGAGTTACCGCAGTCGACAGGAAAGTCGGAGAAGGTATTCCAGTTGGCTTACGCACACGAAGCACTGACAAGGATTGAAAAGATCTCTGGACAGGAATGGACTACGAAAAGGCTAGAAAACTACCGGAAGCAAAATCTTAAGCTGCAGCGGGAGAAGGAAATCATGTCCAGGGACATGGTGGAGCTCAGAAAAAAGGAAAGGTTTGGAACTTCGATCGTCACTTAGCTATCGACTGAGAACATACATTTTGCAGGCAACTGGATTTGTTACGGAAGAACTTGGAGGATTCATTGCAGAAAGTGAACTCTCTTCAAAGGTGACCATATCTTCATTGCGGTCGTAATTGTTTCTCCTCAACATACATCTGTGTGTCCATGACAGGGAGCTCGTGAAGAAGGAAGAGGAACTCGTTGATAGCCAGCTCAAAGAGAAGGAAGCCAGGGCCCATGTTTATCAAGTGGAGGCCGCTTTGCAGCAAGCTGAAGCGTCGCAGATCGACCAGGGCTGTGTTGTGAGCTTGGTCATGGCGCTCAGCCAGTGGTTGCAAAACGTGAAAAAGGTATGGTGCTTCGTTCTCGTTTTTCTTTGAAGAACTTGATTTTTGGTTTCTCCAGCAGGCAGGCCTTGTCAAGTTTGATCCTCGGCATCAGCTCCAGGTATGGATTTTCCTATACTACGCAGCAACTTATCTCTAAATCCCTATAGATCCAACAATACGAAGACAGCCTCGCGAAGCTTTTGGACGAATACACTCCTCCAAAGGCGATACAGAACCTGATGACGAGGTCCAATCCCTCCCACGAAATTCAAAACGCTGGTGGCGATTTCAAGGGGAATTTCTACCTGGAAGACGCTCCAGTAGCAATTCCCCCATCGCCACCACCGCCACCGCCGCCACAGCAGGATTGTAGCAGCGTTTCTCCTCTTCGAGACAACAAGCGAGACAAAGAAGTCCAAGCTTTGCAAAACGAGCTCGAGAAACTGGCTTGCCGAAGAGCCACATTTTAAATGCAAATGCGCGGGAGATGAGATCCCAGCCGTTGAACAGCTCCCCCGTCCGTTGAGCAAAAGAGATCTCGCCCGTCCGTTTGCCAAGAAGAAACCCTAGGTGGAGATCCCAAACGGCAATGAAAGAACCCTAAAGAGATGGGGAATCCACCAAAGAAGGACATCGCCAAGCAGCAAAATCAATCGCCGGAGAAGCCGCTGCCCAAGGAGCTGTCCCTGGATCGCAAATGCGAGGCTTGCTGCGAGATCACGCTCAAGCGCATTGTCTACTCAGGCTTCGGCGGCCTCCTCGCGTCGCTCGTCTTGTTTAGATCTCCCAGCTCCAGATGGTCGGCCATGGCTTTCTCGCTGGGATTGGGCGCCGGATCCGCCTACACGGATTGTTCTTACATGATGAACGGGATTCCAAAGTGGCCGCTGCCTCCACAACTAAAAAAGTAGAAGGTTTTTTTTTTGGATCCCTCTTTTGAGCATCTCCTTGTGAATTGGATTGTTTCCCAGAGAAATTTTCTTCTTTGCGCTCTTACCCGATCGATCCATCAATAGGTCGCGTGAGGATCCCAGCGATCCATCAGCTGGAGAGTAGGATCGAGCAATGCAGGTCATCCCAGGCATTCCACCAGCAGCTGCTCGAGAGCGATCGCTGGCACCGCGATCGCTACCTCGCCAATCTCCTGTTGACAAGGTATGGGCGATCAGGCAGCGTAGCCGGCGCGCGCGAGATCTTCGATGCGATGGCGTGCCGCAATGTCTTCTCCTGGAACGCTTTGCTCGCGGCGTATGCCCGGAATGGGCATATTGCCGCGGCCAGGGCGATCTTTGCGATCTTCCCTGCGCACGATGTGGTGTCCTGGAACACGCTGCTGGAGGTTCTTCCGGGCGATAGTGCAAGGGATTTCTTCTTGGCGATGCCCCAGAGGGACGAGATCTCCTGGAACACAATGTGCTCTTCGCTTAGAGATTTGGGCATCTCTTTGGTCTTCTTCCAGCTCGCGCCTTGGCACAGCGCCCGGGCAGCCACCGCCTTGATCACGCTCCTCGCCGAAAGCGGTCAGTTCGATCGAGCGAAGCGCTGCTTCGATTCTATGCCGCAGCGCGACGAGATCGCCTGGGCGAGCATGATCCACGCGCTATCTCTCGCCGGAGATCTGGATTTTGTGACCCTGATGTTCGCTAGAGTTCCTCAAAGAAGCTCTTTTTCTTGGAACACGATGATTAAGATCCACGGCCAATGCGGCCGGCTGGAGGACGCAGTCACGCTTTTCGATCAAATGCCCGAGCCAACAGCGGCCTCCTGGACGATCTTGATCGCGGCCCACGCGCAGCGCAAGCAGCTGGATCGATCCAGGTCGCTCTTCGACGCTATGCCTTCCAAAAACATCGCGGCGTGGACGGCTCTACTTGACGGCTGCTCGATCGCCGGGCTTCTCGATCATGCGGCGGCTATCTACGCGAAGATGCCGCAACATGACCAGATTTCAATGAGCGCGCACCTCACGGCACACGCTAGGTCGGGATGTCTAGATCGAGCGCGAGAAATCCACGAATCCATACCCGAGCCCTGCATTTCCGCGATGAATGCTCTCATCCAGGCGCACGCCCAAGCCGGTCGGCTCCAGTGCGCGCTCTCGTTGCTCCAATCGATGATCTTGGAGGGATCCATGCCCAACGAGCGGACCTACATTGGGATCCTTGTGGGCTACTGCTATTTCGGGAAGATTGACACTGGCCGCGACTGCTTCATCTCAATGATCGCGGATCACGGGATCTCACCCTGCGAAGATCACTACGCGTGTATGATCCATCTCATGGGTCGCGCCAATCGGCAGGGAGACGCCCAGGAACTGATCGAGAAAATGCCCTTTCGTGCGAGCGAGATCGAATGGACATCGCTGCTGGATTGGTCGCGTATTCATGGAGACATGTTTAGGGTTCTTCGCTGGGTATAATTTAAATTTGAATTTTCGCGCTATTCTCTACCGAATGAGTTGAAGATCGCTCTCGCGATGCGTCCGACCAGATCGTTCAGTACCGCAGCGATCGCCAATGTTTCATCCTCCAGGGACAGCACCGAGATCATCACAGCGATGCTAGAGCAGCAGCTGCGCGAGCAAGAGACCGAGGACGTCTACTTCTTCGATCGCCTCCTCAAATCGTGCGGGGAGCCCAAGGATTTAGCCAATCTCAAGCACGCCCACAAGCGGCTGGACGATAGCGAGCACCGATCCAATCGCTACCTCCTCAATCTCCTGGTAGTGATGTACCGCAAGTGTGGGGGCGTCCAAGAAGCTCGGGAGGTCTTCGCCGCCATCGCAAACCCTAACATCTACTCATGGAACATCATCCTCGCCGGCTATGCCAGGGACGGGAATCTCGACGACGCGCGGCGGATCTTCGACTCGATACCCAACCGGGACCTTGTGACGTGGACAACCATGATTCGCGCATATGCCCAGAACGGGGATCTGGAGGGATCCCAGCGCACATTCCACAAGATGCCCGAGCGCGATGTGGTCTCCTGGACGGCCATGGTGAACGCCTACTTCCAGCACGGACGGCTGGATGACGCCAAATCCACGTTCAAGGAGGCGCCACGCCGCGATGCGGTGACGTGGACGGTCATGTGCCGCGCGTTCGCGGAGCACGGCTACCTCCGTGAGACGCGCCACATGTTCGATATCATGCCGTTGAGGAGCCTGCTGACGTGGACGGCCATGATCGTCGCCTACGGCAAGTCCGGCCAGCTGGACGAGGCGCGGAGCATATTCGACCGGATGCCACAGCAAAATGTGGTATCGTGGAACTCGATGATCGCCACGTACGCGCACGCTGGCCGTCCGCACCGGGCGGTGGAGATCTTCCAGCTCATGCCCCAGCCCAATGACGTGTCGTGGATCGGCGTGCTCATAGCGTATACGGAAGCCGGCATGGCCATGGCCGCTCGGGACTGGTTCTCGCGGATGCCATACCGGGACGTTAACTCCTGGGCCGCAATGCTCCAGGCATATGCCCACAATGGGCATATGGACCACGCTAGGGCAATGTTTGAAAAACTCCCGCGTGAGTGCCTGGTATATGCGAATATCATGATCCAGGGGTATGCCCGGTCCGGGCATATCGCCCCGGCAAGGGTGATCTTCGAGACAATGCCCAGGAAGGATGCGCATTCTTGGCATTCGATGCTAGCGGCGTGCTTCATCTGCGAGGGCGCGGCCGCCGCGCGCAAGATATTCGATTCGATTCCGGAGAGGAGCCTCGTGTCATGGAATGCGATGCTCGGGGGCTATGGCGGGCAGGGGATGGGGGACGAATTCGTGGCGTTCTTCCAAGAGATGAATCTCGCCGGGGAGGCGCCGAATGATGTGAGCTTCGTGTGCTACCTTGACGGCTGCCTCGAATCGAAGCTCCTGCGCGAGGCGTGGCTGGGGTTCCTGGCGATGGTGGGCGATTTCTTCGTCGCGCCGCTGGTGGAGCACTACCACGCCATGATCGAGCTCCTGGTCGTCAAACGGCAGCTCCACAACGCCGAGGCGCTGGTGGATTGCATGCCCTACTGCCCGACGCACCGGGCGTGGGAGATCATCCTCCGCGGCGCCAAGAAATTCGGCGACTCGGCGATGCGCGCGCACGCAACAAGGAAGATCAAAGACCTCCGCCAGGCGAAGCTGACGTGGAGATACTACTGAGGCTAAGAATATGCTTTAGGGTTACTGATTTTTCTTTGGCGTAGGCTTACCGCTTAACGACGGATTAATTAGAGAACGAAGAGAATGGATTTGTCGCTGTGGAGGCGGCTATTTGGCGGAGGGGCGGCTCCTCCGCCAATGTCCGGCGGCAGCGGTGGCGATTCCTCCATGCTCTGGGCGGCGCATCCCTCCCACCTGAGCGGAGCTCCGCGGCGCATTGCGATCTTCACCATCGGCAGCCTGGCCAGGATCGCCGTGACGCTGCTCAATTCGTCTCACGTCCACAACGCGGACACTCTGCTCCATCTCGTCACCGCCAGGCCGCCCGGCACGCCGCTCATCACCGTCAGCAATCACACATCGACGTAAGATCTCTCGATCTCTCGCTAGGGTTTGGAAATTTCTTGCCGACATTCTTGCTTCCTGCGGAAGAAATGGATCGATCGAGTGACCTCTTGTTTCTTTTCCCAGCTTGGACGATCCGCTAATGTGGGCGTTCAAGGGATTTCCCGTCACCAACGCTCGCCTCTCGCGATGGATTCTCGCCGCCGAGGACATTTGCTTCACGAATCCACTCTTTTCCTATTTCTTTCGCGTCGGTAGGTATGTGCTCCGATCGATCGATCGAGCTTTCGCGTGCTTCGTACTAAATTCTTTCCCTTTCGCTTCTTCCAGGGAAGTGCATTCCAATCAGGCGAGGAGCTGGAATCTATCAGCCCTTCATGGACGAGGCACTGGACAGAATCAACGAGGGAGAATGGGTAAGAAGTTCTTCGCTACACTCGAGAGTTTTCTCATAGAATCGAAAGTTCTTCGCATAGAAACTTACATTTCTTTTCCAGATGCATACGTTTCCAGAAGGCAAAGTCTGCCAAGAGCACGGACCACTGAGACGATTTAAGTGGGGGGTCGGATCTCTCGTCGCTCGCGCTGCTGTTCCTCCAATCGTGCTGCCGATCGGTCACACTGGATTCGACCAGGCAAGTCGTGTGTTCTTCGCGTTCTCGTTGAGCCTGACGAGAGCGCACAGGTAATGCCCGAGAAGTACATGTTTGGGAGGAGACCGCTGCTCCCTCTGGCCGGGAAGAAGATCACCATTGTCGTCGGCGAGCCGATGGAGTTCGACATGGCCAGCTTGCGAGACACGGCGATGAAGTTCAGTGCTAGCAGCCCATCGCCATTCCCGCTGAGCTGCAACGCTTTCAAGATGGATCTGGCCGCGAGGAGGCCCGGGCCCCAGCACCTGGTGGCTCTCGACGACAATTCTCTGGGCTGGCTCTACTCGCACATCACGCAGCAGATTCAAGCGGCCGTGGAGGAGCTAAGATGGCAAGCGCTGGGGGAAAATCGTCAAAGCTCGTGACCGTGAGAGGTACTTTTGCAAACTCTATGTTACCAATTAGAACTTTGGAGGTTTCCTGAATCCTTGAGCTCGTATGGCGTCGAATCTGTTCTGGGACGCTGGAGTTTGCCTGTTGATTGGATTTTTTGGAGTGGGTTTCTCTGGAGGTTTGTGGTGGTTCTCGGCTTTGCGTTTCTTGCTTGCAGGCTGCTGTTGGTTCTCTTCTTTCGTGTTTCCAGCGCTGGTTGAGCTCTCGGCTTTGGTTCTCTCGTCACTGTCCTTGCTGTGGATTCACATAGTTTTAGACACAGGTTTTTGGATCATCTCACTCAAACACGTACGTTTCGTTGTCAGCTTGTTGCTCGTCACTAGAACTTGCGGCCTTTGGAAACCTTCTCGCCTGGATATCTTCATGGATTTTCTACACAAAGCTCCAGAGTTACATAGCTTGATCGGCGAAGAAACAAACACGTTTGCTTACATCGATGCTTGGGTTGTAGTTCTGGAAAGACATGCGCCCGAGCGAAGCAGCGGGCTTTGGATCCCCTTCCATGATCACGACGCTAGAAGAGATGGAAGAACAACGAAGAGAAGGTTAGAAATGGGGATGGAGAAACCTCCTCGATGAATACCTCTGTGTTGGAAGTATTCATGGGAATGAGAAGAAGAAATGCATGGAAGCTTTTGTTTGTACCATCTGCGGCTGGACGGCGCTGTGGATGATACCCAGTGATCGTCATCCCCTTTGTCCTCCTCTCCCTTCTTGGCGGCATCGCGGCCGCGTTGCATGAACTGGGGCAAGCGATCGCGCTTGCGCTCGTTAGAATCACGAGAGGATGGAGATCGCGCTCACCTTCATTGCTTGCAATCCGGAAGAGAAGCGCTTCGCCATGGCGATCGAGCGGGATCGGTCGCAAATAAAGGAAGCCCTAAACCCAAAACGCCAGGATGAATGGCTTCTAGGGGCCGGGGCCGGGGCCGTGGCCGCGGACGCGCCGCCCCGATCGTCAAGAAGGAGCTGGACGATGGCGCCAGTGGATTGGATGCGCCAGTGCCAGCTCCAGCGGCGCCATCGCCGGCGACGAAGGTATGAAATGTCGCTGTGGATCAAATGATGAGAATGAAGAGGGAAGTTTTTTGTGTGTAGAAATTTGAGCCCAAGGTTGCTCCCCGGAGACCGAAGAAAACCGAAGTTAAAAGGCATTTTCTTTTTTTTTTCGTTTCTCCTTGCTAGGATCTTACTGAAGTTCTATGTGTGAATTTGCCAGCGAGACTGGAGAGGTGAATGACGCTGATGCACAGAAATTAATCCAGGTATGAATCAAGACAATCCAGCTCTTGCTCACAAAGTTTCTCTGTTTGTCTTCTAGGACGCTTTTGCTTCTAAAGGACGAGGATTTCGATCGAACGAGAACAGAGGTATATCAACTTAAGATTGCTTTCCTTTCTTTGTCGTGATTTTCTTCTGGAAAGCAGTTGCCACTACCCGAGTCGCGTTTGGATCTGGCTCCGGGGCCGCTGTTGCCAAAGTTCCTGCTGGATTTGCGAAACGAAGCAGCAGTGGAGGTGGATCTGGCAGTGGAGGTGGGGGTGGGGGTGGCGGCGGCGGTGGTGGCGGTGGCGGAGGATGGCGAGGTCCGCCGGCTATCAAAACGCAAACAGGTATCAGGCTTTCGAGTTCTTGCTTCTAAGAATCTAGCGTTGTGCTTCAGGAGAAGAGAACGTTGCCAAGCCCCGGATTGGAATATTTGAAACTGTGGTAAGCAAGAAGACGTTTCTCCTTCTCTCGGCTCCTCTCATCCAGCTTGATCGTATAGGACGACTCGAACAAGCCGATATCTCTTCCTCTGCGCCGGCCTCCCGGCGTTGGAACAGGTTGGAGCTCCGTTCGCACGTCTTTCAATCGACTCTAATCTCGAATGAACAAACCAGAGTTCTCGGACGACGAAGACGACGACGACAGAGTTTTTGAGGAGGATCTGGTTCCGCCAGCAAAGGAGCTTGGTCTGGAGGTGAGTGAAACTTCCTTTTCCAGCTTTTGATTTTTCATCCCATTTACACAGACAGAAAATGTCGAGGACAGGCTCCTGTTCCTCCAGTTGCCTTCCTTGCTACCATCCACTAGTGCCACCACGAGTCTCGACAAGTTACCGCAAGGCATGATGGGCAAGCTCCGCATCTACAAAAGCGGAGCAGTCAAGCTTCACCTTGGTGATTCCGTGATGAACGTAAGTTTTACGTTGAAGCCAAGAGCATTTCCCTTACAAGCTTTCCACTTTGAAACAACAGGTCTACCCGGGAACTCGCTGTGTCTTCTCGCAAGAACTGGTCGCGATCGACTCGAACAACAAGAAGTGCGCGTTCCTGGGCGATGTAGGACAGAGGCTCGTAGTCACGCCAGACATTGACGGGATTCTAAATGGATCCAGCTGAGGGCTCTCATCCTTCTCTATAGCTTTTTTTTCGTATTGAGCCTGAGAGAAAGGAATTTGACGAATCTTTCCTTGTATATAAATCTTTTGATCTTAGTTTAGTTCAGTCACTTGATTAATTACTAATGTTGATTATAAGATCCTGTTATATGAAATGCAATTGCCGTTTTGTTTTAAGTTAATTCTTTATAGTATTCCCGGATGGAACACTGAACAGAAATCACACACCATGTCTGGTATTCTAGCTCACCATGTACTTCTAAATCGCCCAATGTACTCTATGCAAGGTAGGCTTCGATTGACCTTGATTTTGAAGAAGCTGTAGAGCCTCTTAGCAAGGTAAATATGGCAAGCTTTCTTAGTTTTATCACCGGGTTGATTTGGCATTGTGAGGACATGTAACTATGCTGTGAATCAGCCAAATTTTGCATCAGTAATGTCCAATTTGGCATAGCAGGATTGAACTAGCCGAGCAGGGGAATATGTTGGTTCTAGTGAACTCATTTAGAATTGAGCTAAATAGATGGTGGCTTCAGGAGGGTTGTGAAAGTTGAGCTAGAGCAATGGCTCACATTTTCTCTTTGTTTCTTTGCTTTAGGCTGTAGTTGCCATCCATTTTAGGTTTTTCTTCAAACTTTTTTAATAAAGTGGTGAGTGAAAGTTGAGCTAAAGTAATAGTTAACTTTTTTTCTTTGTTTTTTTGCAGTGGTATTCCATTTTGGCTTGGGTTTTTTTCTATTGAGTAGTAAGTGAAAAGTCAAACATTCAAATAAATTAGTTGTCAATGTTTTCTCCTTGTTTTTTTCAATGATGATTTATTTTAGTTTATGTTTTTCCAAGATATGGGATTAAATAATGAGTGAAAATCAAGTAAAATATGCCAAAAATAGGTTGATATTTTTTTTATTTCTTTGCACCAACCATTGCAAAGGCAGGTTAATCTTGTTTATGGACTCACCACAATTGTGGAATGGCTCAACTATAGGAACATGCCAATAACACTCTCAAGCCTCCAAGTTCATGTAAAAAGAGTTGTATGTGGGTGTTGCTAACTACAAAAGAGTTAGAACTATTGGAGGCAATCGGGATCAAAAAGTGTGTTATTGTAGACCTCTATAGTATTGGTATCAATGTCAATAGTAAGGCTAGGCTATTTCTTTCTAGAGATGATAAGGACAAGTTGCAAGAGTTCAATTTTGGGTTGTGAGTGCTTCTTTTGGAGAATAGAGTGAGGTATTTGATAATAATCAGGTGGATGTGTTTGGCATTAAATATAAAGTTACTAAAGAAAATGCAATATGCACTAATGTTCTTATTTGACTTCCATCCCATTACTAATTTTTATTTTTAATATTAATAATAATGAGGTAAACTTATGTTTTCAATGCTAAACTCATGTTTTCAATTTACTGTATTTGATTGAGTGGGCGCTCTCATAACTTAGGGCTAATATCATATAACATTTCATTCTCACTATATTATGTTTTGATTTGCAATCTAGTAAATTAATCTTATAGTTATACCTGAAAGCCAATTGTTGCAACATTTTTCAATTTAAGTTAAAAAAAGCTATTTTTCTAATTTAGTCATTTATTTATTTATTCAAAGAGTACAGTATAGTTCAAAAAGGGCTTTTATCCCCTTACATTATAAACATGTCAATTAATCAGAATTTTACTTAGCCATTATAGTAATTATAAAGTTTTATGGATTTATATTTACTAATTATTTTTTAAAAATTAAAATTTCATTAAAAAGTTCAAGATATTTAACAATGATCAATAGAACGCACTTAGGCATTAAAGACAAAATTACCAAAAAGGTTACAATATGCAAGTTGACAACTAGTATTATTATTTGATTGGGTTTTTATAGGTTGATCAATTCAGGAAGTTTTAAAGGGATTTAATTAATTTTGCTTCTTCATTCACAATTAATATGATATACTTTTAGTTTATTATAATTTACCTTCAGTAACTAATTTTTAATTTTTTTTAAATTGTTAACAACAACTATGTTACGGAAAAAGCAAAGTAAATTCATCTTTGCAATCTAAATTATTTAATTGATTAGGCATTCTTTTATGAAGTTATTAAACCACTTTACATTTATCCCATTCTCACAATATCGTGTTTAGATATGTGATTATAATTTTGCTAAAAAGCTAATTATCATACCAATAAAATATAAGAATTTTATAACACTTTCTCAACTTACAATTGTGATAGGTAAAGACATTTATCTTTTACTAATTTATTTATTTTAAGTTTTTTTTCAAAAACTATAGTATAATTCAAGGAGGATTTATCTTAAAAACTGTCAGGTGATCTGAATTTTTATTTAGTCATTAAAATAATTATAAATTTTTATTCTTTTTTATTTTAATTTTCAAATTTTTAAAATTGCATTGAAGTGTTTAAAATGCTTTAACTTTTTTCATTCAATATAATACCTAATGCTAAATTACTAGCAATAGGATGGTGACAATCTTCCCACTTTACCTAACACCAATATGGATATATATATATAGATATGTTTCATAATTATAGTTGATATATTTTTTATTTTTTTAATAATTTTTATAATTTTAAAATTTTAGCTATATAGAATTGGCACAAGTGCTAAACCATCAATTAATACTTAAGAACATTACATTTTTTATAAAGTAGTGAGTGAAAATCAAACCAAAGAAATAGTTGATTTTTTCTCTTTATTTCTTTATAATAATGATCCATTTTAGCTTGAGTTTTTTCCAGCTAAGTGGTAAATGAAAAATCAAGCATTTAAACATACTAGCTGTTGATATTTCCTCCTTATTTCTTTGCAATAGCGATTTATTTTAGTTTACATTTTTCTAAGATATGAGACTAAATAATGAGTGAAAGTCAAGCAAAGTAGGCTAAAAATGTAATTGATATTTTTTTAATTTCTTTGTACCAACTATTGTAAGGGTTAATAATACATTTTATTTATTTTACACTATATATTAAAGAATTTTTATTAAATATTTTTCCAAAAGTAACTAACCTAAAAGGTAACTATTTTTTTATGAAGGAATTGGGTAGTGTGAAGCTGATTTCGAAAGAATGGGAAACATGTGATAAATGTTAAAAATTAGGCTTTATGTGATTGTGACTTATAACTAGGATGGAGCTCCAACTATGACAAATTTCATTTTTTTATTATTTTAAATTTCTAGTTATTAATGTTAAATTTAAATTTTTCAAAAGAGTAAAAAGCTTTTTTAATACCCAAAGAGTGCTCTATCATCTTCTATATAAAAAAAATTAATTTATTAAATACTATTCTTTCAATGAAATTATATTATAAAACATTTCTTTATATTTAAATTTCATAATTTTTATTTAATTAAAATAAAAATTTATAGTTTCAATGAAATTAATTTATATTTAGGCTATTATATATGTCTTTATTAAAAACTTATTATTAGAACATAAATATAATTATTAAATAATATTTTTATTGTATTAATATTTAAGATAACAAAAAAAGGAGAATTATTCTTTAGTTTCTCTCAATCAAAAACTATAAATTTTGTGGTTTAAAGAATTTTGAAAAGGAATTTATCTAATATTCTCAATAGTTGGCATATAATGTATATAGGACATGAGGTTTTATGCTCATTCTTGCATTATAAAACAGAATAGCAGTCTCAACATTAGCTATACATTGGTGAAAGAACTTATGCTCCCATAAATAGTATTGCTGTTTGTGCCTTGAGATGGTATAAGAATTCGGTTAGAAAGCACTTGGTGTTACATAATCAAACATGTAATAGAAGGATTGCAGTCTTGTGATGCCCTGAATTTCTTTGTACTCTTGAAAGGAATGTTATTTTGCAGTTGAATTTTTAAATGTTGTTGTTTCACATTTCCATAGAATTCCTTACCTAAAACACAGATGTACAGCTCTTTTTTAGATCAGATGATGTTGAGAAGTACACAGGACACACTATCAAGGAGCAAGGGTGGTTACTTCCTTGAGCCATCCTGGGAGATCAAGAAATCCCTCATGGAGTATGGTCTATGCACTGTGTGAGTGTTGCATGTTGACGACAAGCAAGAGCCTTCTGTATGCCACACTCACCCAAATGAAGCTGTTATGCAAGTCAAGTGTCACTATGCAGTAAAATGCCTAAATGCACAGCTAATCAGTGTGAGTTTGTACTATTTTTTTTCCTGATTTGGGTCTCTGTTAGAGTTTTGTCTTTCTTGGTTTGATATAAAGGCCTCCATATCATTCTCACACTATGAAACAAACTGGTATAACAAGTGCCCAGTCGTGGCATTTGCTGTGCAGTGGAAGAACTTAATGGGAGCAAATGCTAGGTTAAGGATTGCAAAAGGGTATAAGAATTCTAAAGATATCATGGCTAGAAAGCACTTATGGTGGTATGGCATTACTTAATAAAATATGTAATCTGAAGGAATGCAGTCTATATGGTGTGATGCCTTGAAAGGGCCACACTTCTTTGTATCTAAATAGATGGTGTATAGGGTTTGGGTTTCTGAATGACTCGGCCATCCATTTAGTGATTAAAGAGTGAGTTGAGTAGAGCTTTTTCTTGTTTTTCTGCAGCTGCCATTCATTTTATGCCCAAGGCTTAGGCTTTTCCTTAACAATACAGTGAGTGAAAGTTGAGCAAAGCAACCATTGACATTTTCTCTTTGTTTCTCTACAATGGCGATTCATCATGGTTTAGATGTTCTCCTTGTTTTTCTATAGCAACGATTGCAAGGGTGGGTCCCATAGACTTGCCACAGGTGCAGATTGGCTCAAGCTGATTTACAATAGTGACACCACCTTGCTTTGTGATGCCTGCTACATGGGGGAGTTCAGCTCTAGTAGTGCTATATTGAACGAATTTGGCCATGAGATGATGATGAATCACAAGTCTCAAACATGCAAATGGCCTCCACTGGCCAGCATTCCATCTTACATCTATGATGACAAGATGAAACCCTCGAAGCCGGTGGTGCTGCTTCCATGCCAAGTTTAGGTCATCCAAACGCTAGGTTGTGTCTCTACTTACAAAGTGGACCTAGACCCTTTTAAGGCTCCTTTGCAAGAAGAGTTGGCTGCCAAGCTCTTGTGCCGCTCTAGTGGAACCAGTTGTCTACAGGCTACATTCTTCTCACAGTCCTGACAAAGGCATT